ACCTTCCATTATAATACTTTTCATACACAAAGCTACCAGTAGTCTGGTGTTCATACACATACCTACCAGTAGTTTGGTATTCAAACACATACCTACCTGTAGTCTTGTATTCAAACACATATATAACACATACCTACCAGTAGTCTGGCATTCAAGCACATATATAACACATACCTACCAGTAGTCTTGTATTCAAACACATATATAACACATACCTACCAGTAGTCGGGTATTCAAACACATATATAACACATACCTACCAGTAGTCTGGTATTCAAACACATACCTACCTGTAGTCTGGCATTCAAACACATACCTGCCAGTAGTCTGGTATTCAAACATATACCTACCAGTAGTCTTGTATTCAAACACATATATAACACATACCTACCAGTAGTCTGGTATTCAAACACATACCTACCCGTAGTCTGGCATTCAAACACATATATAACACATACCTACCAGTAGTTTGGCATTCAAGCACATATATAACACATACCTACCAGTAGTCTTGTATTCAAACACATATATAACACATACCTACCTGTAGTCTGGCATTCAAACACATACCTACCACTAGTTTGATATTCAAACTGGTATTTCAACACGTGCCTACCTGTAGTCTGGTGTTAAAACACACATATAACACATACCTACCAGTACTCTGGTATTTAAACACGTGCCTACCTGTAGTCTGGTATTCAAACACATTCATACCTGTAGCCTGGTATTCGAACATATACCTACCTGTAGTTTGGTATTCAAACACATACTTACAAGTAGTCTGGTGTACAAACACATACCTACCAGTAGTTTGGTATTCAAACACATACCTACCTGTAGTCTGGTATTACAACACACATATAACACATACCTACCAGTACTCTGGTATTCGAACACAAACATACCTGTAGTCTGGTATTAAAACACACATATAACACATACCTACCAGTAGTCTGGTATTCAAACACATACCTACCAGTACTCTGTTATTCGAACACAAACATACCTGTAGTCTGGTATTCGAACACATACCTACCAGTAGTCGGGTATTCAAACACATACCTACCAGTACTCTGGTATTCGAACACATACCTACCAGTAGTCGGGTATTCGAACACATACCTACCAGTAGTCGGGTATTCAAACACATACCTACCAGTAGTCGGGTATTCGAACACATACCTACCAGTAGTCGGGTATTCAAACACATACCTACCAGTAGTCGGGTATTCAAACACATACCTACCAGTAGTCTGGTATTCAAACACATACCTACCAGTAGTCTGGTATTCGAACACATACCTACCAGTAGTCTGGTATTCAAACACATACCTACCAGTAGTCTGGTATTCCAACACATGCCTACCAGTAGTCTGGTATTCGAACACATACCTACCAGTAGTCTGGTATTCCAACACATACCTACCAGTAGTCTGGTATTCGAACACATACCTACCAGTAGTCTGGTATTCGAACACATACCTACCAGTAGTCGGGTATTCGAACACATACCTACCAGTAGTCGGGTATTCAAACACATACCTACCAGTAGTCGGGTATTCAAACACATACCTACCTGTAGTCTGGTATTCAAACACATACCTACCAGTAGTCTGGTATTCAAACACATACCTACCAGTAGTCGGGTATTCAAACACATACCTACCAGTAGTCTGGTATTCAAACACATACCTACCAGTAGTCTGGTATTCAAACACATACCTACCAGTAGTCGGGTATTCAAACACATACCTACCAGTAGTCTGGTATTCAAACACATACCTACCAGTAGTCGGGTATTCAAACACATACCTACCAGTAGTCTGGTATTCAAACACATACCTACCAGTAGTCGGGTATTCAAACACATACCTACCAGTAGTCTGTTATAAAAACATATGTATCTACTAGTAAACTTCTTTTTAAACTCAGTCGAGCATTATACAGCTATTCAAACACATTCCAACTAATATACAGGTGTTCAAACGCATACCGGTCGAAATACTGGTGTTGGCGTTTTAATTTAGTATTGTTCAAACTTTCTAAAATTATCCACAGAGCTGTTGTTGATATTTTGATTACATTGATATTAAAAGCATTTGTGTGTAGTGAAAGTAGCGAAAGTGTTTGTGAATTTCACCTAAATAAGAAAATAGAACATTAGACAAAGCCACTTCTTTGTATCGTCCTATTCTGTTTCCTGTACGGTTGGCGCCTCTCTCTCTCTCTCTCTCTCTCTCTCCCTCTCCCTCTCTCTCTCTCTCTCCCTCTCTCTCTCTCTCTTGGAATACATTTATAGGCATGTTGGTATTTTCAAGGGAACTAACTCATTAATCACTGGGACACTCGAGGGGAGATTTGATTACACCGAAAGGATTCAAAGACAAAGGGGGAAAACTCCGACATATCTTGCCGATGAAGAATATTGTATATCTCACATGATTGTGCGAGATTTCCTTCGAAATAAAATAGGAGAACTTTGGTGAAATCACCGTCTTGTCTCCACCAAGAGCGAATACATGGTCAGTGTCTTCAAAATATAAGCTGTGTTCTGGCGAGAGTGAAGAAAGAAGTGGCAAGCCTCTGACAGGCCACTTATGTCTTTCTGTCCAGAGCAGTGAATATGTGAATATTTATATATGTATATATCCAAGTAAAATCAGAAAATAATTCTGTCGAACTAACGCACGTGCTAAAATACAGCTGTTTTCCGTCACTGCCGAATACAGCACAAATATATGTGGCAGGTATTTTCCAACAACAGCAGCGCCAGTTGCAAGATAAATTGAAGTCTATAATGGAGAATAGGAGGGGTCGGAGGGACAATAATCCGGAATGGTTATGGGTAGAGGGCCACAAAATGACTTTATCTCCACATTTTATCTGACAGTGATCCTATCGAGATATCAGAGACAGATCTTACCGCCCTGATATTTTCCTGGTCATTTTATGACAAAATGGCCGACATGCGGCCATCTTGGATTTTGGAGCCGAGTTTGGCATTGTTACTTCTTAATAGGTAATGGATGGATTCCTTTCAAGATTGACTGCATCTGTCACAAATGTTTGACTTCGGGAATGATTCATAAACAGATGTCCCGCAAGCGAACATTTAGATTTTAAGACAGAGAAAGCTTGGTATTTCACAGAGTAATAGGCTGTTTTTAATCCGTTTGTAATTTCTCCTTTGTTCTTTCAATTGTGCTTAAGATGCATATTTTGAAAACTTTATTCGTCGATATGAAATGAACGACAAGTAAGGGGAAAGAAGAGAAAACTAAAAGAATTCAACCGACAAAAACCCAAAATGATCATGGAGGGCCAATCTCTCTGTAAGATCTCTCGTATTTATAAATCTTCTGGAAAACGTGTTAAGACATTTTCATTCTTCTTTTAAAGGAACTTTTTTAATACTCTTACTTGTAACCCAACAGTATATCATGTAACGACTGCCTCATTGGTAAACTTGCCCCTTAAGTTCATAAAAAAGCGATCGTATAGTAGAGAGGTAATGTGAAGTACATGTACTGTAAACGCGTGATAAATTGTACATTTTTAATTCACAATAGGTGTAATGCATTGCCTTCGGAAACACTTAACATTTAAATTTCTCGATAAACACATTTAAAACTCCAACTAGAACTGAACTCAGATGATTTTGGGTAAAGGACCTGTGCAAGTGGAAAAAGTGTCCGCGATATCCAATTATCTGTGATAATTATATTGACCAATGAATAAACGTGTTTCTTCAACTCAATGAATACATTCATATTATCTGAATGCATATATTCAATGCTATTAATATTTGTTAATGATATCACTGATGTTTATATGAAAGAAACGCGATATTAACGTGTCTAAAATTAATATTACAATGGAAATATATTTATGCGTGTACCATGTACCTTGCCTTCTCTGAAAGTGAACAAGGGAGAACGGACATTCTAGAACACAAAGAGTGACGAGGAGGAAGTATTCATAGCACGGGAAGTAATGAACATTGACAAGTTGCGTGTTTTGGCGGACAGTGTAGAGCAGATGTATGATTTTGTATATACAAATTCTCGATGTACAAAGCACGTGCATTACGCGCACACTCATCTAACGTCTAGTAAGCAAGGGTTAGCAATTACGGGTATTGAACGATATAATTTCGGCCATTTCGACCCAATTTTGTCAGGCCAGTCTTCAAACAATGCCCAATCTCTTGGGAGTGGAAACTTGGTGTAATGATAATAGCCCTTCACTAAATTGTGATGTTATTCATTTGGACTTGCAACAATTCTGCCCTTCACGTGGTCGAGGACCAACAGTATTTTATCATTCCGTCTAGGTTTTTGACCTTTTGTGTAAAGTGAAAAAGTATCTTGTAAATATGTATCACTATCCCTGGCGAACGTCCGGTTGGAGATATTAGTTATGGGTCTATTTTATATGCTGTCTTCATAAAGTACTTCAATAATGAGTATTTAAGTGGATTAAATTTTAAATATCTATTTCCGACCCGATCACATGAAACTGTTCACATCACAAAGTACATACTTTTTACAGAAATTAGTCCCCTCCAAGAGGATGAAAACCTAAATATTGATGGATCATGCTTAAAAAAAAAACCCATAGCAGGTTTTGCTTCGACTGGATGAGTGAGAATAACCAAACAATTCAACCAGTTTTCAATCAAGTTACCGAGATTTTTTTCCCCAATGTCACATCAAAAGACTTCTCTACCTATCCTACCAACTATAGGGGGAGTCCATTTTTATACGAGCATAAGTGACAAAACACTTTAGTAAAAATTAACATTGAACATACAGGCATTTAGTATGAATGTATCCTCCAAATTAAATATATTTCAGGTTAAGATTAATGCTTCGAGTAATTCTGGTGGAATATACAGCCTGATTATCAAGCCAATGTTTGTTATATTTTATGTATAACTTGAATTCAGCCTATTACTGTCATGCCACACTACTTGGAAAAAATAAGTCAGGAGGAAGTTTTTATCAGATCAGGTTTATTAACCGTCCCAACATGAAATATATCTTGTAAACAAACACAACATTGTAACACATAGCAAGGTGTATTGGAAATGTGAGTTAACAATGAGGTCCAGGTCTTAAAGACAACATATTCAATCGGGTAGTTAAAGTCATTTTGGCAGGAAATTTAATATTCCTCACCCTCCTCTTCTCCTTCACCCTCAACGGAGTCGACTCCGACCTCTTCGTAGTCCTTCTCCAGAGCAGCCAAATCCTCACGAGCCTCAGAGAATTCTCCCTCTTCCATACCCTCTCCGACGTACCAGTGGACGAAAGCACGCTTGGCGTACATCAGATCGAACTTGTGGTCAAGACGAGCCCAGGCCTCAGCGATGGCGGTGGTGTTGCTCAACATGCACACGGCACGCTGGACCTTGGCCAGATCACCTCCTGGAACAACGGTGGGTGGCTGGTAGTTGATTCCGACCTTGAAACCAGTGGGACACCAGTCGACGAACTGGATGGTCCTCTTGGTCTTGATGGTGGCGATGGCAGCGTTGACATCCTTGGGCACAACATCACCTCTGTACAACATGCAACAGGCCATGTATTTGCCGTGACGGGGATCGCATTTCACCATCTGGTTGGCAGGCTCGAAGCAGGCATTGGTGATTTCAGCAACTGAAAGCTGCTCATGGTAGGCCTTCTCGGCAGAGATGACTGGGGCATATGTAGCCAGAGGGAAGTGGATACGTGGGTATGGCACCAAGTTGGTCTGGAACTCGGTCAAGTCGACGTTCAGGGCACCATCAAATCGGAGGGAGGCAGTGATTGAGCTGACAATCTGACCAATCAGACGGTTCAAGTTGGTGTATGTTGGTCGCTCAATGTCCAAGTTTCTGCGGCAGATATCGTAGATAGCCTCGTTGTCGACCATGAAGGCACAGTCAGAGTGCTCAAGGGTGGTGTGGGTGGTCAGGATGGAGTTGTAAGGCTCAACAACGGCAGTGGAGACCTGGGGAGCTGGGTAGATGGCGAATTCCAGTTTGGATTTCTTTCCGTAGTCAACACTGAGACGTTCCATGAGGAGGGAGGTGAATCCAGATCCGGTACCACCGCCGAAGCTGTGGAAGATGAGGAATCCCTGAAGACCGGTACACTGGTCAGCCAACTTCCTGATGCGGTCAAGAACCAAGTCAACAATTTCCTTTCCAATAGTGTAGTGACCTCTTGCGTAGTTGTTAGCAGCATCCTCTTTGCCGGTGATGAGCTGCTCGGGGTGGAAAAGCTGCCTGTATGTTCCGGTACGTACCTCATCTGTAGCACAAAAACAGATAATTCAGATACAAGCCTCATTTAACAATCAGATCAGCCATCAAAGGAGTGATCAGCAATACAAATCATTTTATTTTCCAATTCAAAATTATTTCATTTAATTTACAGAACTCTTTGAATGAAGATTTGAAAATTTCAATTTGAGCAATAAATTTACATACCAACAACAGTGGGTTCCAGATCTACAAACACGGCCCTGGGAACGTGCTTGCCAGCTCCAGTCTCACTGAAGAAGGTGTTGAAGGAGTCATCTCCCCCTCCGATGGTCTTGTCTGAGGGCATCTGGCCATCAGGCTGGATACCGTGTTCCAGACAGTACAATTCCCAGCAGGCATTGCCCATCTGGACTCCGGCCTGGCCGACGTGGACGCTGATACATTCCCTCTGTAACACAAAGGTTTTACATAATGATACTATTCATCAAAACATATCCTACTGCAATACAGATACACCAAACTTACTTCTTATATTATTGGAGTTTTCAAAATTCATACAAGTTATATTCCCACTCCTATCTCTAACTAGAGTGATGAGATATTTGAAAAAAATTGCTATGAAATACTTATGTAGCGTACATTATATTAAGTAAAAAAATATAAAACTTGACAAATACCTATATATATATATTTTTCTCCCATTCCTTTATTTAATCATGCCAATACTACACATTTTTAATTTATCAATTAAATGTTTTGCTTTCTGTCCCATGTTGAACGACTTTTCATTTCAAACATTGTCATCCTGATTGCGTATTGCTTACATCTGCCTTGTGGCAAAATGTTCACATTTAAAACATGCGACATATTAATAAGTAATTAAATTTATAATCTCGACAACTGATATCCGGTTTATTCTAGAAGTTAACATTTAAACCAATGAGTGCAAAACATTTTAAACTGGTGACACACCTTTACAACGACCCGGACAGGAAATCGCTCAACCGTTGACAAGTTTAAACTTGTACACAAAGAGATCTAAACACCTGCTAATTTAAACTTGATTTAACCTCGTAATCGGATTGAACTCCCTTTTCCATCGACTATAAGATTCGTAAACTGCTGTTTTAGATACTCAGATATTTCATCGTTTCCTAAATTCCGAAATATTTCAACAATCACCTTTCTCGTAGCGTTTAACACGTGGCCAGGAGTAATATATGTTTTCGGGGAAAATACCACAGAGGTAGATATATTTCACATGAAAACTTGACCAGGTTTGGTTCTTCAGCCAATCAACGAGCTGGGAATGCTGTTTATTAATTTTATACGAAAAGTAACATAGTTTAACATAATAACAAGTATACAATCGATATCACCATGGTGACACGGACATCACATTCGCGTCGAAAAATCAATTTATTCCCTTTCAATAAACATTTCGGTATTCTTGTATCGGTATTTAGGTCAAGAGTATACTCCACAGTCCCTTAACCAAGTAGAAAATTCCATGGATAACAAATATTACTAGGTAACTCGGCAAATGGTCGCATCGTCATCCCGCCCAACTCGGTGGTTGAAATGTGTCGGTTATTTTTAGATATTTACCGGTAGAATAAGAGCTCAATAAATGACACACAACTGCTGCTTATATTCATGGTGACAGATTACAATTTTCCCAAAAATATGATCCATGATAGATTATAATTGACTTACCATGATGAAAAGTTGGTTTCAAACGAGTTGAAAGGGGTAAGAAGATGCCGGTTAAATCCTCACGGGGAGTTCGATGATCCGCTGGTGAGAAATTTGAATGGCGCGATAGCGGGTTTCTCGGTATTTATACACAATATTTAACTTTAACCCTTAACCTGGATTCTGATTGGTCGATTCTGATGTCATCTGCTGTCCTGCGTGTTTCCATTGGTTGTTCATCAGGAAGAACCTGTAAGTGATATTTTCGCCTCGTTGACCTGTTCTGACTTTGGCGGCAATATTACCTGTATCCCAGGTGTGACGTTAGCTTTGTTGTAGCAACTGTCACGTGACAGCTGATCGATCGGCCCATGTAGATAATATTGTAACACACGAGATAGTGTCTATACCCCGTCATAGATTTCAAGTAAGTATTGTATATATTTTCAACACGGCAATACTCACCTTTGTTTAACAATCGTTAAAACAATTGTTAGACAATTGACACTTCAATCATTTGTAATAAACGCCATTTGTCTTGTCGATACCTGTTTCGAATAATATTGATATTGCATTAGCAACAAGTTAAATAAAGCGGTTTCTTAAAGTGATTTTGTTTTGAAAGTTCATAAAAAAGAATTTAAAAAAACCAAACAAACATATAATTAAACGAATATAAGCATTTGATTGCACCGAAAGTTGCGCAATTATTGAAGGAATGTCTAAGTCATTATTTAAGAGAAATATTTGAACCTTACTATATTGTGATACTGAGTGAGAAGGGGGAATGGGAAATGGAAGAATTAGGAAGGGAGCTGGGTGGGAGAGGGGATAAAAAGGAATCGAAAGAGGGATGAATGGGGAATTGAGGGAGGGTGAATGGGATGCGAGGTGGAGGGGAGGAGAGGAAGACTGGGAGAGGGAAGGGGTGGTTATACGTTGGAAAGGAGAAAGAATGGAGAGACATTGATGATTATATTTTTGAAGGGTGAGAAGAGAATGATAGATTGGATAGATGTGTTGGGGACTGGGAGAAATGCGAGGAGACTGGGAGGAGGATGGGCTTAGGAGCTGAAGTAAGGTGGGGGTAATGGGATAGGTTATTTGAGAAGGGGAGAGGACCAAGGACGACGGAATTGGGAGACTTTGGATAGGGGAGAAAGTATTGTGAGAAAAGGACTGGATAGGGACAGCAAGAGAAGGATTGGAAGAAGGAATTGGGAGGGGAAATAGTGAGAAGAAGGTGGGATGGCGTGGAGGAGTTGAGAACTGCATCAGAGAGTGAACAAAATGTATCAGAGATAGAACAGAATGTATCAGTCAGAGAGAGAGGGGGGTGTGGTAGAATGTATCAGAGAGAGAATAAAATGTATCAGAGAGAGAATAAAATGTATCAAAGAGAGAGAGAGAGAGAGAGAGAGAGAGAGAGAGAGAGAGAGAGAGAGAGAGAGAGAGAGAGAGAGAGAGAGAGAGAGGATAGAATGTATCAGAGAGAGAGAGAGAGAGAGAGAGAGAGAGAGAGAGAGAGAGATAGAATGTCTCCGAGAGAGAATAAATTTTATCAGAGAGAATAAATTTTATCATAGAAAGAACAGAATGTATCAGTCAGAGAGAGAGAGAGAGAGAGAGAGAGAGAGAGAGAGTAGGGGGGGTTAGAATGTATCAGAGAGAGAATAAAATGTATCAGAGAGAGAGAGAACAGAATGTATCAGAGAGAGAATAAAATATAGGAGAATGATAGGGAAATGAGAATTCGCCTAGGACTAGGAGACCGGGGAAGGTTAGATTTTTGGACTTGTAAAAGAAGGAAATTGGGATTGTGAGGAGGTAAGTAAGAGGAGGTAGTTAGAATATCCTTGAATTCCCATCGTGTGCTGAACGTAGCGCCTTTATGCCGCAGGAGTGGACAGGTATCACACACACAAGTCAAGGCGTTGCACAGCAATAACGTAAACAACAAACAACAGTGTGTATGATACTTCTATATCTTACAATATGTTTACACAAGGAACGTCAATAGCGATCCACTTCAACACAAACTGAAATTAAATACATTCCCGTGTAGAATAAAGGGTGGAGACACAAAAACACTAATTACGGACCATAATTTTAATCATGCTTTGATGTATAAAGATACATGGTTATAATCAAGCTTTCGTGACATTCCAGTACTGATAGATATTTAAAAACGCGTTTTTTAATACTTCAGTATCACACAGGTGGTGATATGTAAATGATCCTGCTCAGGTGGACTCTTTTTTTAATATCTATCGCTTTTTGTCGGAAGCCTGTACATGTTTATAAGCTCTCACATAAAATCAATACAATATATATATATATATATATATATATATATATATATATTACACACAGTATATGATACATTGAAACATTCGGTTACACACAGTAACCTGAAGTGATACATTGAAACATTCGGTTACACACAGTAACCTGAAGTGATACATTGAAATATTTGATTACACACAGTAACCTGAAGTGATACATTGAAATATTTGATAACACACAGTAACCTGAAGTGATATATTGAAACATTCGATTACATGATAACCTGAAGTGATACATTGAAACATTCGGTTACACACAGTAACCTGAAGTGATACATTGAAACATTCGATTACACACAGTAACCTGAAGTGATATATTGAAACATTCGGTTACACACAGTAACCTGAAGTGATACATTGAAGCATTCGGTTACACACAGTAACCTGAAGTGATACATTGAAATATTTGATAACACACAGTAACCTGAAGTGATACATTGAAACATTCGATTACACACAGTAACCTGAAGTGATACATTGAAATATTCGGTTACACACAGTAACCTGAAGTGATACATTGAAATATTTGATTACACACAGTAACCTGAAGTGATACATTGAAACATTCGATTATATGATAACCTGAAGTGATACATTGAAACATTCGGTTACACACAGTAACCTGAAGTGATACATTGAAATATTTGATAACACACAGTAACCTGAAGTGATACATTGAAACATTCGATTACATGGTAACCTGAAGTGATACATTGAAACATTCGGTTACATGATAACCTGAAGTGATACATTGAAACATTCGGTTACATGATAACCTGAAGTGATACATTGAAACATTCGGTTACACACAGTAACCTAAAGTGATACATTGAAACATTCGATTACATGGTAACCTGAAGTGATACATTGAAACATTCGGTTACACACAGTAACCTGAAGTGATACATTGAAACATTCGGTTACACACAGTAACCTGAAGTGATACATTGAAACATTCGATTACATGGTAACCTGAAGTGATACATTGAAACATTCGATTACATGATAACCTGAAGTGATACATTGAAATATTCGGTTACACACAGTAACCTGAAGTGATACATTGAAATATTCGGTTACACACAGTAACCTGAAGTGATACATTGAAATATTTGATTACACACAGTAACCTGAAGTGATACATTGAAACATTCGATTACATGGTAACCTGAAGTGATACATTGAAATATTCGGTTACACACAATAACCTAAAGTGATACATTGAAACATTCGATTACACACAGTAACCTGAAGTGATACATTGAAGCATTCGGTTACACACAGTAACCTGAAGTGATACATTGAAACATTCGGTTACACACAGTAACCTGAAGTGATACATTGAAATATTTGATTACACACAGTAACCTGAAGTGATACATTGAAACATTCGGTTACACACAATAACCTGAAGTGATACATTGAAGCATTCGGTTACACACAGTAACCTGAAGTGATACATTGAAACATTTGGTTACACACAGTAACCTGAAGTGATACATTGAAGCATTCGGTTACACACAGTAACCTGAAGTGATACATTGAAACATTCGGTTACACACAGTAACCTGAAGTGATACATTGAAACATTCGGTTACACACAGTAACCTGAAGTGATACATTGAAACATTCGGTTACACACAATAACCTGAAGTGATACATTGAAACATTCGATTACATGGTAACCTGGAGTGATACATTGAAACATTCGATTACATGGTAACCTGAAGTGATACATTGAAATATTCGGTTACACACAATAACCTGAAGTGATACATTGAAACATTCGATTACATGGTAACCTGAAGTGATACATTGAAACATTCGATTACATGGTAACCTGGAGTGATACATTGAAACATTCGATTACATGGTAACCTGAAGTGATACATTGAAATATTCGGTTACACACAATAACCTAAAGTGATACATTGAAACATTCGATTACACACAGTAACCTGAAGTGATACATTGAAGCATTCGGTTACACACAGCAGCTTTAAGTGATAGTTAGAAACCTTCATTTACACACAGAAACTTTAATCGAAGCTGACAAATGGGATCGCTAAATTACACACGATAGAAGTGACACTCGGAAATCCTCGGCAATTACACACATGGAACTGAAGTGACCCATGGAAGCCATCGACATTCACACACAGAGACCTGAAGTGACACATAGAAACACTCGGCAGTTACACACAGAGAACTGAAGTGACACATGGAAACCTACGACAGTTACACACAGAAAACTGAAAAGATACACGGAATCCCTCGACATTCACACACAGAGAACTGAAGTGACACATGGAAACCCTCGGCAATTACACACATGGAACTGAAGTGACCCATGGAAGCCATCGACATTCACACACAGAGAACTGAAGTGACACATGAAAACCTACGACAGTTACATACAGGGAACTGAAAAGTCACACGGAATCCCTCGACGTTCACATACAGAGAACTGAAGTGACACATGGAAACCCTCGGCAGTTACACACAGATAACTGAAGTGACACATGGAAACCCTCGACATTCACACACAGAGAACTGAAATGACACACGGAATCCCTCGACATTCACACACAGAGAACTGAAGTGACACATGGAAACCCTCGGCAGTTACACACAGGGAACTGAAGTGACACGCGGAAACCCTCGGCAGTTACACACAGGGAACTTAAGTGACACAGAAACCCTCAGCAGTTACACACAGGGAACTGAAATGACACATGGAAACCCTCGGCAGTTACACACAGAGAACTGAAATGACACATG